AAGACAATGGACATCATCTTTCACACTTTTAGATATATGTGTGTTATTTTACGCCATCCTTCTCAGGTTCTTTTACTTAAGTGGAGAGACTCACTGAAAGTGTCTTGTAGTCCTTTCCTCTACATGCATTACTTGGAATACCTGGAATTCTACCCCTCAAACTGCAAAGTTTTAGGCAATCCACTAGAGGGGTAGTCTTCAACATTGTCTTTATGTCTTTGTGGTATGATTGTTCATCCCCACAGCAGTCCTTAAAACCATGCAAGTTAATGATTGCTACAGAGAATATTATTGAAGTGATATCTCACATCTACATTGAAATTCCAAAGAAACGGTCAAATTTGAAGCAGTACTGAAAGGACAGAATTTCTCCATTCTTTATTTTGTATCTTTTACTATTTCATATTCTCATTCTCTCTGTTTCCAAAAATAAGGATAATTAATAATGTATCTTTGTAACTTATCTCTTTATATTTATCTTCAAGTATAGATATTCGACCTCTGATTCAGGATAGACAGCATCTTGTAAAAAAATGGGCAAAATCCAAGTATTCCAGAACAGAATATAGAGACAGAGATAAGGTATAACCAATATTTCAAGGTCTGAGGAAAGCAATGCTATGCTTGTAATGAATTCCAGGGAATATCATAAACCTCCTCCCAAGAGTTTCAGTTTAGATGTTTTCATTTTATGTTAGTTGTGATGTTATACGATATTTTGACAATATATTTCCACAAAACATGAACCCCACAAGACCATGGCTCTGATCAAGTTATCAAGATTGTTCACATAAGATCTTAAAACAAAAATTTAAATTTTATTAATGGAAAAAATATTGACTGAAAAATAACCTTACCTCTTAAAATCTTGTTTTGTCCTATACCTTCAAAAATATTTAAATTGTCCTCATATTTTTGTGTCTCAAAAGAAGTGAAGTTCAGTTTAATGGATAACCCTTGAGGCACTCTAAGATAACAAGAAAAAATAAAACTCAAAACTGAAAGTCATATTCTAATAATATTTGACTGTAGTAAATTCATTTTGTGCTTGAATGATGTTAAGTTTAGAAACAATGTGAAATTACATTAATCAAGATTATTAATCAAAATTACCTGATTGGCTAACCTGTAGTTTGTTAAACTACCAAGGGAGTAGGGTATAAACCTTTTGTAGCAGTACAAAACTCCAGTGAGTAAAGGAATACAAGTATATTTTAGGAACTGAATCTCCTAAATTCTAGAATGTGATATTCAGGTGAATAGCTTGTTGTGGTTCCCTCCTTCCCCTCCCTCCGCCCCCTCCTCCTGCATCTCATTAATTTACAATAGCTTTTTAATACATGTAGCTAATAAGTAACAGGTCACTTCCTAGGTAGACTTCCTAAACTCAGAAGAATAGCATCATGGTATCAATATGTATAGTAAGATACCAAAACCTTTCTCCTGAGAGTCCGAAATGGTAACTTTTACTACAAAAAGAGGATTTGAATGAAGATTTGAGGAGCTCAAACTACTATTTGGGAACATGTTATCAAATGTAACTATCATCAAGTAAGTTTAATAGCAAAAGTGACTTTAACTAAAATGTAAACAACCCTTGGTTTTATTTTGCTGCACTTACTTTCAGTAATCTGTATTTAAATAATTCTCCCATTGCCTTTCCACTAAACATACATGGTAGTTCAAATTCTAAAACTGCTATGACCATCAGCTTAGCTTCCTATACCACTATTTGTTATTTTCTGGAACTGAGAGACCCAGTGAAGGTAGATTTTCAACAGAAGTCTTCTGGTGCTTATAAGTACTGAATAGTAGAGAAGCATGAAGTAAATATTTGATACTTTGCATTTACTTTTTTTTTTTTTTTTTTAAATTGTTGTTGTTATATATTTCTCCATAGGAAAAAAAAAAATGTCTTTTGTTTGAAAAGAGTGAAACATATAGTTGAAAGGTAATCTTTCAGGAAGTTAATATTACAGGGAAATATTGCTGAGAGCATAGTGCTCCCACTTCTAAAATGAAACTACATCTTAATTTGGGGAGGAGGTAAATGGGGTAAAAATGTAAACGCTTTTCTAAACGTAATGGCCAAATCTTTCTAGACAAAGAAAGGCAGATGAGAAATCAAATCTTGGATGCTTTACTGGGAGACTTCTAACACAGTTTCATAGGAACAATAAAAAATAATAGGACAAAATGTCTGTCATTGGAGATCAGAAGACACAAGAGGTTCCCCTGTAGAAACAACTCTGAAAGGGAGACAAAGTCTGAGTACCACATTTAATTTTTTGGGGGACTTTACTGTCAGTGTGGCCAGATTTTTTAAAACAGAGAGCTGGAAAATAAAACCAGATGGTTGATAATGTCATTGATTACCTGCAATAACACAGCTCTCCAGCACCTGCACCTGATGCTTCTTTTTAAAATTAAGCTTTTGTTAGCTACATACCTGGTGTAGATATCTAACTAACAGAATACTTCTTGCAGATATAGCAGTGTTTGAAGCAAAACTAACAGCTTAGAAGGAAGTAGTACACATAAGACATGATTAATTATTGTGCTCAAAATCTGTGACACAATGAATTGAGAACAAATCAGGCTTATATTCTGAAGGATATAATCTTGTGCTTTTCCTGTAACACATTTATATTTTAAAACCAGGTGTAGCCAGTAATTATTGGTGAAGAGTATTGATAGAAAAAGAACGAATGTACTAAATAGAAGGAAAATATTACTTTTCCCTGAAGCGCCAAGGTGAAGACAGAAGTCCTAAACAAACTCAGACTAGTACATTCAAAGGAGCCTTGGCAATGAGAAATTAAAACCTTATACAATTTTAAAAGCTTTTCCTTATCCTTCTTTGAAAATTTTCTACTAAATTTATACTTCTCAGAATGAAAGACTGGTCATTATTATAAATCTGTAATAAGAATTACTACCTTTCAAAGTAATAACTTCTAAATTGGCAGACATTTTAGGGATTTTTAGGAGCTTTCAAATTGGAATTGCCTAACTTATTTTAGATGTGTACTTTAGGATGAGATCTATCACATACTATAGCTATCTTTTTTTTTCTCCCATGCCTGTGAAGTGGACCTAGAGTGTTGAAATCAAATAGCTGTCCCTCCATCTAGGTATGTATCCTTGATTAAAGAAATTCCACCTCTTGTACCCAGGGCTTAAAAGGCATTTGGTGCTATTATGTCAAAAGATACTCATGCACTTTTAAAACATATTCCTACATGATTTAGGAGCACAGGTGCTGTTAACTCCCAAAAGAACTGTGTGATTATAAATAACAAGGGAATTCTTGAAAGTTCTGTCTGTTAGTAACAGTTACATCATATGAAACCATTACCTAACGACTAGTATTTACCATAATATTTTGAAACAAATATCTTGCAATTATTTTGGTTTATGTAATTTATTTTGAACTTACAAATATGTTTCTGTGCATGCATATGATACACAGGATTTCTCAAAATCATACCTATGAATTTTTGCAAGTGGAAAAATTAGTGATGTAGTTATGGGTTTTAGGCATTACATAAAGTAGAAAATGTTATTACACATTTTCTATGCTGGGGTATTTGGGAATACAAACAAATGGCATAATTTTGATGTTCAGGAAACAATATCACCTCATAAAGAAAAAAAATGTTAGGTAGAAAATTATTGGAAAATAGCTTACAGTATAATCCATTGGCAAATGATATTTGCATTATATGGTTTTGGATAATTCATAGAGTGAAAAAACCCAGAGGAATCAGTCAGCATAAATTTCCCATCACAAACTGCAGCTGTAAAGATATAATGAAGAACATTTGTCAAAATGTCATTTGAAAAACAGAATCAGAGCCAAAATGAGGGTGACCTTAGATATCGGTTTACATGGCTTACCTTGGAAATGCTTTGTAGCAACAATGGAAGACAGAGTAAAACACACTACCAACTTATTCCCACTTCTAATTCTTATGACTGTTTGATCTCAAAGTATTATACGAGAAGAAAAGCAGTACATATAATTCACTTCTAAATGAGAGACAATCCAACTAATCCAAGCTAGTCCAAATCAATCCAAATAATTAAAATCTAACAGTTGGATTCAATTATTCCAACTCTCTTTCTTTCATTTCATTTTATGCATCTGTAAGGAAACAGGATCTTGCTTTGACGATTCTTATCTACAGCTACTTCAAATCAGGAAACTCTGTTTTCACTACAAGAAACAATTTGATATCATATGAATAAAAGCACAAAGGGATATGGTTGACTATTGCTATCCCTATTTTTATGATCCTCCTAGTTCCTTGCCTTATATATTACTAAGTACTCAAAGAGATAAGTGGATATCCTAAGCTTCCTGCCAGCTATCAAATTCATTCATCTGAGGTAACTGCCGTCCATCATCATACATTTTTTCAGAAAGCTTTTATTACTTTTGTTTCCTTGGTGCTGTTATTCTATTCTATATATGTTCTTAAGTTTAAAAATCAGTTGTCTCAAAAAAAAAAAAAAAAAAAGTATTTTTAAGCCTTGGCAAGATTGGAAATGCTTTCATGTAGAATTCACTATTTCAGCAGGCACTGAAGTACCGTTGAAACTTCTGCTTCATCTCCTGAACATTATGTTAGGGATCTGTCTGAAAAATTTTTTTTGTTGTTGTTGTTGTTGTTTTTTTTTTTTTGTTTGTTTTGTTTTTGTTTTTGTTTGTTTCTTTTTTTTTTTTCTAGTTTTTCAGAGAACATCGTAAGGCTTTCAAATAAGGATAAAATCAGTACCATACATGATTATCTGGAGGAGTAAGGACACGTTGATCAATCTGAGGCTGATAATCAGAAATTAGATAGAGCTTTTCGTTAACATCAGGAATGTAATCATACCTGTAATGACTATCCAAATTATGAATAATCAATTATACCAAAAAATAAATGGAAATTTTATTGAGCATAGTCCTCCCCTGGGAAATGGCATATAAAACAATAAGTCAGGGCTCCTTTACTGTTCATTTTATAAGTATAAAATTGAGATATCACTGTAGCACACACAACAAAAAAATTAAACTTTGTTTCATTCAGACTCAAGCATGCACTGTTAAGGACAGAATCAACTTCACTAATGATGATATGTCTAATGCATGAGCTAGAATAGAAACATATTCCCTCTGCAAACTTCGTGGTCTTTGAGAGGAAAAAAAAAAAAGCACACAAGATTATAAATACATAGAAAAAAAGGTCCATGAAAGAGAGTTAGTATTCTATATAACCTTTTTATCAGAATAAGCTACAGCTTTAGATCTGGGTATTGGTATAAAAGCACCTTTTCTGTCAAATTTTAGGAATACTTTTCCTGTCATAGAATCATATATAATCATAGAATGTCATGGGTTGGAAGGGACTTTAAAATGGGCTAGTATTTACAACCATTTCCCATTGAGAAACAGAATCAGTATGAGAAGGCAAGTGTCCAGCTTGTTATTAATGAAGTGTGCAAAAAAAGTGGTACTGTTAAAAAGTGGTTAGCAAGACATATCCTGATCTAAAAAGGAGCACTGGCAGTAATAAGAGATATCATGCTGTCCTAATAAAATTAATGATGAAAACTTACTCTTGTCAACAATTAATATCTGTTCTTCATATTTACTTTTGTTTGTTTCTTCTTATCTCTTCAGAGGCAGTAACTTGAATTAAACTTGAATTAAAGATGAATCCTTAGGCTGCTCATCCACAGCCAAGCAATATAGAGTGCCTAGTATCTTAGGGATGAACAGGAAGATAGCTGGGAGTGGTCCTGTTTCCCTAAAGAACCTCACAGTGCTTCCTAGTTACAAGGAGAAGGCAGCTGTGGTCAAAGGCAGCCACAGAAATCATTACATCTATGCCTCTTCCTGGAACCCTCAGAAAAGCCTCAGTTGTTCTCTTTATGAGGCAGAAGACATCTCTTGTAGGAACTCCTTTCTCTGCACACCCAACATGCATCTTGCTGTGTACTCCTATTTAATGAACTTGCGTGCAAAGCACATTAGGAGGGCTTAATCCTGTAATTCTTAAATTGTAGGGAGAAGCTCCCCAAACTGGTCAGATCAAGCCCACAAATTTCACTTGGCAGGCCCCTTTTTTGCCCAGGGCAGTACATTGCTTCCTGACTTATCTGTGATTGATCTCTCTCAGTACTGCAGCGATGCTGTGAGGTAGGTAATCACAAAATGTTACCCTAGACATATAATAACTGCAAAGAGAGTCTGGAGAGAGAAACATCTCCTGGGATCAGCCTCCAGCCTCCCTTTCCTTATGCTTATTTCCTACATGGCTGCTTTTCAGCAATGCCAGCCATTATTAATAGATGCTGTTCAGACTTTCACATTTCTCTAGAGACCCTTTCATTGAAATGGCTAACTGCACTTTTGCAATGCCTTTTGTTACTGCACTGCATTGCAGAGCCCGAAAGAAACCTTTCAAGAACATTTGAATCAATGAAACAAAATAAAAGGTGTTCAGTTGCCTGAATTTCTGCTAAAAATCGGAGATTTTACTGAATTTTGTTTAATGTAGAAAGACACTATTAAAATTAACCCTTGTATTCTGTATTCTAAAACCACTAACAATAATAATTAAGATTCATAATCAAGATGAAAAAGCAAACCAACTTGTTTAAAAGGCAGCAACTCCATTGTGTACAAGAGTATTTGTAGCATGAATTATGTATTGGCTGTAAATCTCATTGTGGAACTCTGAAGCACTTCTGAAAATCTAGACAATTTTAGCTTTTATATGACTGTATTAAGTTACTCCAGGTATGAGACAGGAATGAAAAATCAAAGAGGTGCAAAAACTGGCAGGTATCCCAAACATGCAAAAGGCTTATTGCCACTTATTCCACTGTTTTTGCAAAGTCTGCTAAAGGCCCTAAATATATAAATTTAGAAAAGCTCTGAGTTTTTGGATGGAAAATTTGAAGACTGAAAAAAGAAGCAAAAAAGAGTCATGGAACAAAAATTTGTCTTCCAGCCAGAACTATGCTTCTGTCAGGCTGTGAGCTGAAACTGCTAAACTAATGGCAACCAAATGAATTGCTTGGAAATACCAGGCATCAGTGGAGATGAACAGGGGCAAATCACCCAGCTCCCTGAAGTGGACTGTAACTGCATCTAGTTTCCTTATGACATTCTGTCTGTTTTTACTCATATGCACATTCCCAAAATTTTCAGCTCAGTTGTGCATATTCTTTGGTGACTGTTAAAACACTGATTAAGATATAGTATCCTCACTTGCAAAGGAGCAGGGCGTTCACAATTTGGTAGAGATTCAGGGAGAGATGAAAATCAGATCCAAAAGCCATGCGTGTAAGAGGCTATGCCTCAGCTGAAAAACTCTTCTCAAGAACAATTCATAATTTAAACCATTGTGTAGCCTCCAGGGCACAGCTGAATCATATCTACATAGCTTTGACTGCACGTAGATGAGCTTATTTTCGTCTCTGTCTACCAATGTAAGAATATCAATTCAATTCTGCCCTATATAACAGGTCTGACTGCAGTATCTTTAATAAAATGTGAGCAAAACTTGAACTCAGACTTAAACATTCACAGTAAATAAAAAGCATTCATTTTGATGAGATGTATAATACTACTTTTAAACTATAACGATATGCACTTTTTATTCAGCTACATCTCAAATAAAATAAAACAAAATAAACAAATACCCCAAACAAAATCCATGTCTCAGAACGAGAGTATGATGGTAGATATGAATGACTGAATAACTCTTTGGGTTTGTGTTGTCCTAATGCTTGGAGCAGAACCAAGGTCTAGCTGAGACTGTTTTAGGACTTTCTGATCTCCTCAGCTGTAAAACAGACGTGCTCAGAGTCCATCGTTGTTATGATCTAGCCAGATGCAGCTGTTACGCTAAGTAGACATTTGAACATATCTTAGCTGATATTCTACTAAAGGATTTTGATGGATATCTTCCCCAAAATGTTCAGCTAAGTCTCCCTTCTGGGTTGGCTGCACTCAGAAAAAATGCAGGTAACATGTAGGTCTCCAATTCCCCCCCCCCCCCCCTTTTTTTTTTTTTTCCCCCCCTCCTTCTTCTCTTTTTTCTTTTTCCTCCTCTCTGAAGAAGATTCCACTTCTGGCAGAAGCGGTCAGCATGTCACCACCCTTCAGAATCAGGCTTCCAAGTTCTTTAAAATAAGTGGTCTTTTTAAACCAGAGCCCAGCACCTTACATGTTTCTGAATGCTCAGACCAGACTGCTCCCACCCTTATTTTCCAGGAAGCTCAGAGAGCTGTTCTCACAGCAAAAAGATGATAAGATTTCTAGATTTCCAGCACTTAAAAAGCAAGCAAGCAAAACACTCAGGGAGTTAATTTCTTTGACTTCTAAAACATTAGCAAAGTTCTCTTTGCAAGAAAACTTTACAGGCCCCATTATCATGCATGCCTCCCCACTAAAAATCTGCACACGTACTTTGGTAAGCAGCAACCCAGCCAGACTCCTTGGCATAATTTCGGTGTTCACTGCTACATGGAGCAGCGGTTGCTCTGCATAAAAAGATGCTCAGGGAAACTAGGCAGCCAGATAAAGGCAAGCTCACTCATTGATGCTGAAGGATATATTTATTTTTCCATTAAAAATAACCCCAAAACAGTCAGGTTTCAGGTTTGCAAGGTTTTCACACCATCACAGACAGACTGAGGTTAAAAGGGACCTCTGGAGGTGATCTCGTCCAACCCCCTGCTCAGACAGGATCACCTAGAAGCCAGTTACCCAGATTTTCCATCATCATCATCATGCATCTCTCACTGTGGTGCCAGCCACTCAAACATTTGTGTCAAAGTCATACAGACACTCCCATTACCTAGCACTTGGTACAGTGAGATGCAGGTGGGTGGCCAACAAAGTTAGAGTTCCTGCCAGAGTTCCATCCTGCTGTGGCAGCAGTCACACTTGCCTGCCTTGGCTGCAAAAGGCTACCACTGCCCGCCCCAACCCAGCACTCCCCGGGTTTCTGTATCTGAGCGTACACAGTAACCTGCGAAAAGCTGGAATTGCAGCGTTTTGTATGAGGACATTCTTAATGCTGGAATTGAAAAAGAAACCTCTTTTCTGACTCTAAACATGATATTAAGTAGTTTATGGTACTAGATAATGTAACTTTGCACCTGTACATGGTCATAACTTTAATTGTTTTGGAAAGAATATTATTTGATATTACTGGTACACAACTTAATATGATGTTTCTGTATTTTTTTATAATTGACTTTATGTTTAGTCGTAGTATTAATATTTGTATAGTACACAATAACATCTATATTATTTTATAATAATATAGAGCCAGCTTGTAGTATTCTATTATTTATTGAGCATATTCTTCATTAATGAGAATCTTAAAGAAAAACATTTCCATTTACAAGATAAATATGTTAACAATCAGTCTTGTTATTGTTTTTAGTAGAACTGATTTAGACTTGACTATGTAGCTTATTTCCTATACGCTATTTACACTTGAACATACCAGTATTTTGTGTTTCAAAAATAAGCGATTTACAGAGGTTTACATTCTTACCACATCTTTTTTCGGTTTCATCTGAACCATCTGGGCAGTCAAATACTCCATCACAAAATAAATCTTCGCTAATGCAGGTTACACCGTCATCGCAAAG